CGGAAGGCTACTGACTTTGTATGGGGTGAAAGCTTTTGCAGATACTTAAGCTGATTTTCCAAGTCCTTGGACTTCAGATTGAATATATAGACAACAAAAACTGTTTCAGATGCTGTTCCCTTGTCCTTAGTTCCCTCACTCTCGCGCCTTAACATCATATCGTTGTATATCGGTACTATCTCAGGATTATCCACATTAAGGTCATCAATAATATGTAGATTCATACCACAACCGGACAAATCGTGCATAAATTCCCTCAACTTGCGGAATTTGGACACATCGTCTTTACCAGACTCTTTTGAGTTCCACGAGTAGGTTCGAACGTTTTCGGGCCATGGAAAATTCTTTATTAGAGCCGTGGCCGTCATGGTCTTGCCGACGCCGGGTGGACCCATTAATGCGACCGAACGAAACTTACGATCGCGGCTTAGTTCTTCCGCCATCTGGCCTAGGGCCCTGTCCTGGTTCTGTACTTGCAGGCCAATCTGGTTGAAGGCATTATTCATGTACATCGGCTGGCTACAGAAGTGGCAACGAGAAGCTTTCTCCTCTGCGGTCGCCTCTGCCGCTGCTGCAGCCGTTTCGGAGTCGCGCCACGAATGATAGCCAGCTCCTAGCCCAGCTAGTAGCCGAGTAGCAGGCAATTCCTTGAGACCAGTCGGAATTGAATGAGGTTTCAAAATAAGTTATACTATTTATACTATAATACATAATGTCACAGCTAAGTTTTAATGTCATAGCTAAGCAATGGCTCCTATGACCTCGATCCTTCCGACAGATTTCTATTAGAAGTGATTAATTAAAGGCCCCACTGTGCGTCGTTCATCGATGTACCGTGCATCGGTAAAAACTGTCCAAGACTTCCATCCTTGCTAAATGTTTTTTTTTGGTAAATGCTCTATTCTGAGTCGCCTACGAACATTTAGCTTTTTTAATTTGTTTGTTTTGTTTTCTTTGTTTCTTAATCTGTAACTTTTCTCTCCGATCAAATTGTACAGTTAATAAAGTTATAAAAGGAGAGACGCGGCCCTTGCCGTGCATCGCAACGTTTCCGTCTCGTCTAATTTGATATACCTTAATTTCAGGGCGCTGGCCATAATGATGTTGAGCTGCATCCACAATACTACGAACGCTTGAGAAAATTTCTTTCAGTGGAACTTATCAAATGACAATTAAAGAGCAATGTCGATGCAGTAGTTGGTGTTAGTGACACTACAGCAGTTGTATCTAATCTAAATCCTGTCGAAGGAAGTTTGCCCCCAAGTCCAAAACACCTTAATACCTTAACTGCTACAGAAAAAGAATCAACTAGAAAATCTTTGGCCACAAATACAACACGGATAGAAAATGATGGTTAGTAATTCAAAAAATATTTTTAAATTATTAATTAATTCCGCACATGTACAAAGGTATGTATATATGTATATCTATGTACATTTTTTTATACATATTTTGTGAGAGCGAACCCTGAGTGCCTCACGAGTTTTTTCTGAATATATTTATGTTTATGCATTTAATAAGTGTTCGTTTTTTTTTACAGGTGCCCCAAACTCCAGCCACAATTCCGCTAAATCTCATCAACAGAAGTTTCTTTAGCAAAAACATTCGGGCTCTTTTTATGCAGCCCAACCAATCTCCTCCGAGCTACCGAAAATCGAATTTTCAACCAAATCCTGCGGAAATGAATACAAAAAGCTAAATAAAAAAGATGACAGTCAGAAAATTAACGGTATGAAATCAAATGGTTTTTTGGTTTCTCGATTAAAACAAGAACCAAATATTTCCCCAACACTTCCTGTTATATTTCCACATTTACCGATGAATGCAAATTTATACATAAATAGTCAACATACTCAACTATCAGATCGATATTTAAATAACAAAACCTCCCAAAAAGTCGATACCAATGATGTCAAGGGGGGAGCTATTTCAAGCAGATCCCTCCATGCAGTCAAACAAGTTTCATCCATGTCATCAACAGTAATGTGCAGCTGTGAGAAATCAGTTAATTTAAATGGGTCCGAATCAAAGGAAACAGATGTTTTTAAAACCAATTTAGAATCTGATACTCCAGAACATCTCGGTACCTGCAGTGCCAAAATGTATGACTCCGTTTCCCCAGTATGCCCCACGAAAGATTATAGCAAAAAAAAAGGTACGGATGAGCCAACACAGATATGTTATCAACCAAAAAGTGTGCTTGGAAAGGAAAAATTAGGACTATGTTCCAAAACGACAAATAATAGAACAAAAAACTCTCGTAATGCCGTAATGATTTCTGATGAAAACAATATCAATTCCTTTAAGTACGGAGGCTCTCAAGTGATAACCCCATTTTTTATAAAGCCAGACAATCAATTGACTTGTCATGTCACTCAAAATATTAGCAAATCCGAGCAAACTTCTCCAAATAATATAGAAATGGGTAAAGCTAATTTTTTATATGATTTGAGGCATAATCAAAATACCAAGCAAAGAAGTACTGGCTGTTTGCTGTATCCTTCGAATCCATGGATCAGAAAACCAGATATTAGTTACAAAGTTTCCTCTAAAGAAGAAAAACCTTTACACCTATTTCAAAATATCGATCCATGGGTCAAACGTGAAACGGACTGCCCATTGGAACTATCACGGTTTCAAACAGAATATGTCTGTCAAGATAAACCAATTTCTTACACTAAAAATATACCTTTTCCGGAAATAAATAAAAAAAAAAATTGTATCCAACCAACATTAAACAATATTAAAAAGGCTAATGATAATCACGTTGTTTTGGAAAAGCCTGGCCTGCTGTTTGCCACATTTTCTTATCAAAACGGTTCACATTCACATAAATTAGGTACAAATTCCCAAACAAAATCTGGAAGTTTTACACTGGATAGATTAGGGGATATCTCGAACCCGTTGTCAAGCAATTCCAGTAAAACTGTAAATGAAAATGATGTTAATTTTCTTTGTCGAAATGGTCAAGAAAAATTACAAATTCACGCAGACAATTTGCCATCTAGACATAGCTTTTCATCAATCTCTACCAAATGTAAAGAAGAGTTGCCCTTGAACATTCGTAGACTTTCAGAGCAAATTTATAAGCCATCGCTAACTACAATGGTTCCGTTGTCAATAAGCGATTTGGACATACGTAATATCCCTGCTTCTGAAAAAGCGTTTAATCAACAAAGCCTTTCGATTGGAATACACACAACAGAACTGTTTCATGGAAATAAACATATTTCAGAGCAACATGCGAGTTGCCATAAAGACTTAATATCTTTAAAACTTTCCCCCAAAAAAGTAAAACCCTTTTCAAGTACTCATAAACCGGATACTTTGCTAGAAACCACCTGTTAAAAAAATGTACTAAATAAATACAAGCCAATTTTAAAGTGTATCTACATAAGCTCATTTTGATTTCATATACATATGTATTTATAGAACATCTAAAACTTATTGTGTATCAATTGAATCCAAATACAAATAAACAAGAATACAATATCTATTTGTAGTAGTAATTTACGACTAATATAAGCTTAACATTTTTACCGTAGTTTTGCATTTAAATAAGGTAACACGAAAACGACCCGTTAGAATGGGGTTTTGTGTTATAGACTTACATAACTACATTCGCAAACATATTCATATGTGTACTAATGTATTATTTCATATTAATATTATTTTCAATACTGTTGTAATACATTTTATAGTAATAAAATCTTTATAAAGATCTAAGTAAACAAATCTACAAAATTTGGCTGAGTCATCTCGTGTTTTCTTTAATATTTAACACATTTAGATAGAGTTTAGTAAATTATATTTCAAAGATACCTGAACCTACACTATCTTTTATCGGAGATACTATATCGCGTTTAGGTTTATTTTTGAAAAAGTTGGTTTGATTCCTTGAGGAAAAACTGTGTCGTGTAGTGTAATTGATGTAATTTCGAAATTAATGTAATTCAATGATAATGCAAATACTGTAGGGAAAGAAGTGAATCCACGTCTTCTAATTTATCGTTTAATGGACTCAGTTGGATGTCAGTGGCTCGCCAAGCTGTTGAACTAGTGCTTTCAGGGACTTGCATCCAGATACATCTAAGTTTTGCTGAGCTCCCTCGAGAACCTTGATTTCTGCCTCCTCGCTTAACTTGTAATTGGCAGCCTTTAGTTCGTTCTCCAAGCAGGACTTGAGATCCTTAGGTTCAAAGGATCGGAAGGCTACTGACTTTGTATGGGGTGAAAGCTTTTGCAGATACTTAAGCTGATTTTCCAAGTCCTTGGACTTCAGATTGAATATATAGACAACAAAAACTGTTTCAGATGCTGTTCCCTTGTCCTTAGTTCCCTCACTCTCGCGCCTTAACATCATATCGTTGTATATCGGTACTATCTCAGGATTATCCACATTAAGGTCATCAATAATATGTAGATTCATACCACAACCGGACAAATCGTGCATAAATTCCCTCAACTTGCGGAATTTGGACACATCGTCTTTACCAGACTCTTTTGAGTTCCACGAGTAGGTTCGAACGTTTTCGGGCCATGGAAAATTCTTTATTAGAGCCGTGGCCGTCATGGTCTTGCCGACGCCGGGTGGACCCATTAATGCGACCGAACGAAACTTACGATCGCGGCTTAGTTCTTCCGCCATCTGGCCTAGGGCCCTGTCCTGGTTCTGTACTTGCAGGCCAATCTGGTTGAAGGCATTCTTCATGTACATCGGCTGGCTACAGAAGTGGCAACGAGAAGCTTTCTCCNAATCAGTTGGATGTCTCCTGGCCTCCTCGCTTAGCTTGTAATTGGCAGCCTTCAGTTCGTTCTCCAAGCAGGACTTGAGATCCTTAGGTTCAAAGGATCGGAAGGCTACTGACTTTGTATGGGGTGAAAGCTTTTGCAGATACTTAAGCTGATTTTCCAAGTCCTTGGACTTCAGATTGAATATATAGACAACAAAAACTGTTTCAGATGCTGTTCCCTTGTCCTTAGTTCCCTCACTCTCGCGCCTTAACATCATATCGTTGTATATCGGTACTATCTCAGGATTATCCACATTAAGGTCATCAATAATATGTAGATTCATACCACAACCGGACAAATCGTGCATAAATTCCCTCAACTTGCGGAATTTGGACACATCGTCTTTACCAGACTCTTTTGAGTTCCACGAGTAGGTTCGAACGTTTTCGGGCCATGGAAAATTCTTTATTAGAGCCGTGGCCGTCATGGTCTTGCCGACGCCGGGTGGACCCATTAATGCGACCGAACGAAACTTACGATCGCGGCTTAGTTCTTCCGCCATCTGGCCTAGGGCCCTGTCCTGGTTCTGTACTTGCAGGCCAATCTGGTTGAAGGCATTCTTCATGTACATCGGCTGGCTACAGAAGTGGCAACGAGAAGCTTTCTCCTCTGCGGTCGCCTCTGCCGCTGCTGCAGCCGTTTCGGAGTCGCGCCACGAATGATAGCCAGCTCCTAGCCCAGCCAGTAGCCGAGTAGCAGGCACCAGTGGTTGTCCAGACTGATATCCATCATGAGCAGACTTCTGGGCGGGAAAGAGAACATACAGAAGACATGATGTTCCGATCACTATGACAGCCGAAATGATCCAGTACAGCAAGGGACTACTGGGAGGAGACTGATCCTCGCCTCCTGACTGACGGTGGTGATTTCTAGCCATGGCTTCCAACGTTTGTCCTCGATTAGAAAATTGTAATATTGAAAATAAAACTAAACAAATTTTGGAAAATGCCTTGAGACCATTCGGAATTGAATGAGGTTTCAAGATAAGTTAAACTATAATAAATAATGTCACAGCTAAGTTTTAATGTCATAGCTAAGCAATGGCTCCTATGACCTCGATCCTTCCGTCAGATTTCTATCAGAAGTGATTAGTTTAAGGCCCCACTCTGCGTCGTTCATCGATGTACCTTGCATCGGGAAAAATTGTCCAAGTTCGTTTGCAACAATCCTTGCTAAATGTTTTTTTGGTAAATGCTCTTTTCTGAGTCAATTATATTTCAAAGATACCTGAACCTACATCATATTTTATGGTAGCTACTATATCACGTTTAGGTTTATTTTTGAAAAAGTTGTTTTGGTTCCTTGAGGAAAAACTGTGTCGTGTAGTGTAATTGATGTACATAATTTCGAAATTAATGTTATTCAATGATAATCCAAATACTGTAAGGAAAGAAGTGAATCCTCCTCATATCTTTCTTCTTGTTTTGCCTTTTGACTTTGCAATAAAACATTTTATTTCAAAACAGTACAAGTTATGTTATACAAATATTCTTATATTTTGAAGAATGTTATTTAATTTATAATTTTACTAATCTGCTTAGCGAGTTTTTGCTCTCTTCCAATACTTCTAAAATATAAGCTGTACTTTCATCATCGTCTTGTTTTTCATCTTCAAATAAATCAGTTTCGTGTACTCGGTTAAGTGCACGGAGAACATTTTCGGTCATGCTATGTTCGGTTTCCTGATAGCCAGATAAAAGACGGCGTTTGCAATCAAATTCATTTTCCTAAAATACAAAGAAAAATAAAATGTTTAAGTAAATGAATATATTTTTAATTTTTAAGATAATTCATAATCACAATGTTAATTTTTTGTTTTAAGGCTATTTCCAACACAACTTTAACTTACTTTAGAGTTTTCATCATTAGCTTGCGGATTACACAACCATTCGGTACTAGCTGCCATTAAATCTTCGACCTTTGGTCTAAAGCACTTGCACCAAACTACAAATGGTATACAAATAAAGAAGAAACAATTAACTAGAAAAATTCTTGTTGTAGAAGTGCATTCAAAAATCATTCCCGGCTGAATAGCATTAAATCCGAACTTATTTATTGATTTGATAAAAAATCCGAAAACAGCCTTTAATAATCCTGTAAAGAAGGAAACAAAAAAAAAACGTCTAGCGACCATTCCCTATTCGTTCTATATCTGACTTACCTAAACCCAACAGCATTAACAATATACAAAGAGCAAAGCGTAGAATTTTAAACAAAACAGAATTGTATGATTTTGAATTATTGATAGCATTACTGCTCTCCATGATGCATATATCATTTCGTTGCTCTGCAGGTGGGCAGTTTAACAGAAGCCCTGCATCACTTTCGGAATTATAGTTCATTTTTTCACAAACATTAAAATTAATATAAGTTTCCAATTTATCAAGGCAATGGCAGCGACATCTCCAGACACAAAAACATCTTGAATGTATTTTAATATCCATTGTCCTCTTTGCTACACTGGCCATATTTGCATTAGGCTGTTTCATGATTTTTGACCCGGCTTCCGCAGCGATCCTCATCATACTGGTCTTTACAACAACTGGAAAACAACATGTTTATATGAACTAGTATAGATAATACATTTGCCTATTAAACTCTCTCTTCACACTTCAACCGGAAAATAGTGCGAAACTAAAAAAAAAATTATGAATGGATTCAGACAACGAACATAGCACGAAAATATATTTAAAATTGGGGTTTCAAAAATGCTTCATAAATTAATGAGATTTTATGATAATATATTATGTAATAAAAATGAAAATGCAAATAACGGGGTAAGTAATTGGTCTCAAATGTTTCTTCTGAATTATATACAGCTTACCGTCGCAACTAAATTTAATTTTTTTCTTTAAACCAATTATTAAAGGCAACATAAGCGTTACAGATTCTCCAACATATGGATATAGTATTTTCTTAACACCTATTGGTCTTAATGTCCCATATGATTGTTGACAGTTGCCAATATTTATGAAAAATTCTTTCGCTGCAAGTCCTTTATTAATAAGTTCGACCGTAATTTGAAGAGCATCCTTTGTCGTGGTATCAGTAATAATTCTAGATATTTTTACTTTGTAATGATTTAGTAATAAAGCCGTATTCTCTCGGAAGGGCATCTTTATTTTCATGCTAAGCGCTAATTAATCAAGTTTAAATATACAATTTCATAAGTATCAATTTATAAGGACATGAATTACCTGGTAATTGTCCTTCAAGCATATTTAAGTACAAATGGTTCTCACTATTTGCAGATTTTTTCAACTTGGTTATGGAACCTGGAAATTTTCCATGGTTTTTAATGTTATTAATTGAACCTTTAGGCTTCGTTGACTGTGCTCTGAAATTAGCTTGTATAAAGTTTTGTTGTTCATTTTTAGGTACAAAATTTCTGGATAAATCAAAGATACGAGAATTTCGGAAATCATTAATAAATCTTTCTTGAGTCGGTTCTTTTCGCCTTTCACGATCTGTTTCATTTACTAATTTGGTTTTTTTTATAAAAAGTTTTTGATTTTGGAGCCATATTGATTTTTCCATCTGTAGGACATCTATATTTGTAGTAAATAGAACGGAAAGATTTCCGTTTGCAAATATTCCAGTCAGACTATTTAATCTGCCGAATGTATAAAGAAGAACACATACATTTTCTAGTGGGTTCTTACAAATATATTTCTTGTAATGCGAAAGGCAAGTGAGTAAGAAACTGGAAATTGTTTTGGCCAATTTAACTGTGTTTTGTCATATTCATTTAAAAGTCCACCGAGATCGAGCCGACCAAAAAATTAACCCTTGATAGTTTGCAACAAAAAAAAGAATTCCCTGTGAGTACCGGGTACTTTTTGAATACTTTTCCTTTTTGGATTAGGACTATAAGTGTATCTATATTGGTTTACTTACAAAATTATTGGCACAATCCTCCACCACCTATTATGACGCTTTCTGAAAATTTCGATTTTAGTTGCAACGAAAGGTATAGGGGTACTCATATCGTAAACTGAGAAACTGCAGCTTTTTTTACTATAAAGAAAATAAACCATATAATACAAGACAATACAATTATAAATAAGACGGTGTGTTTGATGGATAACAAATTCTGAATATTATTTTTATATCGGAATAAAACAGATCCAATAATATAGATCGGAATCAATTTTTTTTACTATATCATAAAAATAGCTGCTATGTTACTCAGAAATAACAAAAATTAATGGAATTGCGTTTGGGGTATCGCTTATAATAAACAGCTAAGCACAGCCATTCGAATAAACTCTAAACAACATCATAGCATTAAATAAGTGTTAAGTTTAAGGGAAAGTTGTTATCTAGCACGCACTAACAATTGCTTACTTTATCTTGGAATACAGATAGCTTACCATTTAGATTTTATTTCTCGGATTGGCTTTAAATCTACACAATTACAATTTTCTGGATTTCGAAAGCAGCCACATGATTGGCGAACAGGCTTTTCGGTAGATCGATTTTCATGCTGTGAGTCAAAATGGCGGGCATTAGAGTCGTACTGGTTTTTTGATACCGTTAAGTTGCTCTCATATTTATTTTGTGATTTGCCTCTTAAGTTTTTATTTTTTCCGCCACAAGTATTGCAGGGAATTTCATCGTTATCGTTTACATTTTTAAAGAATCTTTCATCGCTATTACACTTTTCAATTATTGGTAGACATTTGTGGTCTTCGATATTTGATATGTAATGTGAATTTCGATTTTTAATTTTCATAAATTTAGACTGGGAAAAATGATCGGGTATATAATACTTTGAAAGGTATTCATTTTGAATTCCATGATTTTCTTTGTTAATTGAATCTTCAAAAATATAAATGTTAGCTGTACAAAAATAATATTTAATATATTTGAATACATTATGAACAATAGTTTAACGATTTAATGTCAAGCCATAAATAAATAGTTGATCTACGACGTTAAAGCCATCTTTCAACAAGTGCCCAACGTTCCAGGTACTACATTTGCCAAAAATACAGGAATACTGTTCCTAAACTAAACTATGTGGGTCTACTTTGTGCATAAATAAAATCTGGTTTATGTTTTCAAAGTGATGAACATTGCTAATTTGCATAAGATACTCACATTGTGAAATGTTTTGTCTTTCAACTCCGTTGAAGATTAGGGGTAGTTTTGAGTTATAGGGTGAGTCATCATAGTTCATTTCCGTGTCCTTAACTGTCTAAAACCATGTTATTATTTTATGAATATCTTTTATTTATTACCTAGTTCTTACTTTTACAAATTGAAGTGGATACATGCTAATCGGCACGCCTCGACTAACAGCAATCAAGTACGGAGATAGAATTTTTGAATTGGACCGTTTTGTGGTCTCATATGTCTCGTCAAGGACCCAAAACTTTTCCAGATTTTCTTTATCAAAACTTGGACTAATGTGAATATTAACAGTTAGTTCAGACTCGCATGATCCGTCTTTTTTGAATATAATTGCATTTAAGTAATCTGGCGGATTTGAATCTGTAAAACATTTACCAAATGCATGTTTTAGCCCAACTGTACATAACGCATATACAACAACCATAAAGATTTGCCGTTTCATTTTCTTTATATTTATTATTTCTTATTTATGCTCCCAACATTATACAATTTGATTTGATTACAATCTCAAATCACTTTGAAACTAAAATATTAAAGATAATAATTTGTTGAGGTTCTGGATCGTTGTTATGAAAAACGATTGCTTCTTCAGTTGGTTAAAAATATACAACGTTCCGTTCGAAACTATAGTGCGTTCAATTTTGTAACACTGCTCTTACATAAAGCAGATTTACAAAAAAAGAGAGTAGGAGAGGGTGCGAAAAAGAGCAAAATTGTATGCACTACCCCATATTGCTCATACCTTGCGTATTACTCATGCTTCTTTTGTGTATATGTTCACCAAATCTTATGGCGAAAGCCAAATTACATAAGGTTTTTAATCCCTTTACCATCAAGATTAATTTCTACTTTTGTTAAGCTCTCCAATATGTTTTGAAGTTTTATGAATTTGGGCAGACGTTTGCTTTTGTTCCTTGAGGGATGACAAGAAGAACTAGCGATATTAATATGTACACATGTTAGTGTTAAATCTTCACATTTTTAGTTACTTATGTGTGCTTTTATATAGCTCAGTAGGACTTTTCACACTTGAAATTAGCTTAAAAGATCTTCTTAAAACTGATTTATCGGTCGTAAGCGTATATACAATTCGGCGAGCAGAAACAATTTTTTATTTTCTTGTTTTTTTTTTATTTACAATGATATCATAGTGAACACTTTCTAAGCCTTTTATAACGTGTTGAAAAAAAGTATAAATGATCAGCAGGCATGAAAGAAAGTCAGTTGTTGCGTGTAACAAAATCAAAAGAAACATTTTTACTATTTTTAACATGTTAGTGACAATTACTGCTTATATAATTCTTTTTGGAACGCTACCAGGAGATGCGATGAAGAATAATAAGTTTCGTCCTGCTGACAGTGCGGTTGAGAAAAATCCCGAGCTCTCTTTACTTATTCCAGCACAATCAATGGGTAGAATTGTAAACCGCAAAAGCCATATATGTGCTGATCATAATGTTGAGGCAATGGGTAACAATATTATATCTGAATTCAAACAAGCCGATCGCGGTGAAATACATAAAGAAATAAATACAGAAAATCTACGATATCAGTATGATCCCGAAATTTCGGACTTACCAGCACAGAGCGCTGATTCCACAAAGCCAAATGGATTTGGTTCCATCGAACAATACCACTCTTTCAACAATGTCATTTTAATACTACTACGAAATATACAACCGCAATTTCATCTTCAACAGCATTACACACTTTTTCCCAAAGATAACTCAAACACGACTATAGCTCCTTCATCTCAAACGATATCATCTTCAAATTATGGAAGTCAAATAATCAACAATGCTTTTGTGTATGGAAATCAAAATAAAACTCCAATTTCTACCATATCATCACCAACACATAATCAGCAAGATCCACCTTCTGATCCACCAGTACAAAAGAATACGAGTACTTACCCTCATAGCAATTATGTTGAGTTAGCACATACAAATCAGTTAAAGGATCAAGAGGAGCAACCTTTATTAAAAAACACTAGTAGTTTCTTAGATATAAGATCATACATTGATAGAAGTAGTTCCATGGGAATTACTAAATCAAATAATGATTCATTTCTTACACATTCTTCTTACGATGTACCTCTTAATTAAAAAACAAATTTGTTCTTTTGCACATTTTGCTAGCAAAACTGTTGTTGTATCTGAGTACTAGGCTTTAGAAAACGAATCCGCAAACGACTTCAAAGATTCTAGCTGCGTCGATACCGGTTTAATGACAGTCATATGCCAGCATTGCAATGCCAGGACATTGTACTCCGGAGATTTTAACAAACGCGTCCCGTCATTCCCAAATCCTCTGTACCCGACGAACTTGCCTGAAGTCGTCGTGTTTGTCGAGACAGGATCCGCCAAGGAATATATGTATTTTTTTATATTCCGAATACAACAATGAGCCTATCGGCCATTGATTCTCTAGATATATTCATTTTCTATGATTCTATGTTTTTGGCTTTCTCGTATCCTATTTGTCCTATTGCTGATGCAGGTGTGCGTCGTTTGAAGAATAGGTAACGGGCTTGGAAAAGTTTGAAGCAAACTTGTGTATGTACCTCTCTAGCTCAAACAGTATATGAGAACAAAACGACCAACGGGTCGAATAGGAAGTCATGCCATGTTTTCTCGGCTATCGATAAGAACTTTTTAAGAAATGTGTACTTCTGTCTGCTACATCTACACAAAACTAATATAAACCTATACTCTTTGCGTATAGGGTATAAGTAAGAGAAAACACGATTTTATTTCTGAAACATGACAACAGTTTTATGAAGTATCTCTTAAATATTAAAATATCTCAAATAAAGAATCAAAGCATTATATCACTATTACAGTTGATTCACTAAAAATAACGTTTTTAACTCTACACCGATGGCATAAATGGTACCCAAATTATATTTAAAGCACATTGCATGTTTTTTGTATATTAATCATTGATCCAGATGGGCACTTGAAAACTTCAGTCGCACTTCCCCCTTGAGCTACGAGCCATCCCAATCTGAAACAAAAAAAATGTAGATACAATAAAAATGAGGAGGAACGTTGTGAGTAGCTGCCAAAACAGCTCTTCGAGTACCGGGCAATATCGGCAATATCCAAAAACTTAAACAAATTTAGATACATTTTGTATAACGCTTCGCTTCTGTGATTGAAACGTTACTGCTGCAATACTAACTATATCTTGAAAGTATTTGTAAATCTGATATGGATATAGTCCCCCCACTCACGCATACATATATAAAACTTACATATTATCGAACTCTGGAGCGTTTATATCGATTCCCAAGTAATTAGATTCAGCACATAGTTCCTGACCGGAAACTAAAAAAAAGATTTGTGTTGGGGTCAAGCTTAGACCAGGTAGTCGCGCCATTCCTTTGATAGGACCAGTCAATGAAAGCATTGAGTGGTATGATATCTGCATTCCTCCTGAATGTATCAAAATGTCCATTCGACTATAATTCGAAAAAATATTTACAGAATGTGGAACGCAACGCATTGCCTTTTCATCAAATGATTTTGTTATAGAGCGCAAAATTTCCTTGGCTATGGAAACACCAACAGATGCATAATGTAGATAGGGCGGCAACGCTGCATTAAAATACGGTATGAGGATGACTGAAAGGGGAACCACTGCAAAAATGTACAAAAATATTAAAGGAATCCAGTTTATTAATTTCAATATACATACCTATTGAATGGCTTAGTGTATCGTAAAATATAGTTGAAACTATAGGATATGCCCATCTGTAAGAAATATTTATCAAATAGTTTTGCATTTACATTTTACAGTAAGTTGAACTTACGCATCATGTGATCCTGTACGCATATTAATTTCATTGGGAACTAGTTTGTTTTTTTTATAAATCTCTAAAATATTTTGAAACCAACATTCGGAATTTATGTTCAAGCTTTCCAGGGACTTTACTAAGTCGGTAACATTTGAAAATCCTTCCCACGTCTGTGATTGTATTTTTAACGCGGATAACTTTACAAGAGCAGCTCCTTTTAAAGAAGGCGCTCTTTTTAAATGGGCTTTCAATGATTTAAATATTATTTCCGCCTGAAAATATTTACGAATTAAATTCAGTTCAAATCTGTAGGTACCATAATAATTACCCGTTTTGTAGTGTCCTTTAAATCGTCAGATGAATGTTGCGCTATGTATAGAGCTGAGGCTAATTCTGGTAATGCCCACATGGTGGACCGAGTACACACTTCAGGACTTGGATAATCCCTAGGCAATATTTCTAGCGCACTTAGCAAAAGCAATGAATTATGTGCTACTCTGGTCGGATATTTTGTAAGAAAGTGTTGCAAAGCTTTGAGATAGTCACCATTTCTGACAACTATGGGTCCACTCCAGTTTTGTGGAATTAATAGTGTCCAATTTAGCTAAAAAGGCATCAAAATTAGATATTACTACAGAATATATTGAAATGTAAATAAATATATGTGCACACTCTGGGGCAATATATGAACAAATATGTATAATACTTACAACTGGATACATATCCTGCAGGATGGATATATTATACAGCACAGAACTATCCCAAAATCCTCGTCGAGAATATTCGACTTGCAGCTAGAATACAATTCAAAGGGTTATCGTTTTAAAAATCAATTAAATCGGCTTTTTTCTAAACTCCATATGAGAAAACGTTGTTCGAAACACACGTGTTTAATGTAAGTCTTATTAAATTTTCATACAAAACTATACTTTATCGTGGCATCATAATTCAAGATAAATATTTAATAGCCAAACCGAGCGAATTTTACGGACCAAAATGGTAAATTGGTAGATTTACTTTTGTTTAAAGCTTACCTTGTTAAGATCCTTCACAAATTCAAAAATTGTATCTTTTTCTGATATTCTTTGATCATAAGATACAAAATGTGGCAGAAAATTATCGATCAAATCGGATAAAAGTTTTGGGAGTCCTTGTCGGATACGGCTTGGGGGTGCTTTTGGGCTTATCCAACGAATTTTGTGCTAAAAATGTAGTGCAGATAGTTAATAAATACAAATCCTTCAGCTTCAAATAAACATAAGCACCTCTAGGATAGTTGACGATGTGCTTGGACCGCTGATTATAAGAAGAATATGAGGTCTTCTTCCATAGCTTAGATCATAATATAAATCCACTAATGGGCTTGGACCGAGTTCATAAATGTTAGCTATCAAAGGTGCAATACTTGAAGGACCAGTTGAGCCAACTGGTTGATATCCGCCCAAAGTATCAAATACTCGATGCATTACTGTTGAGTTGGTGGTCTGTTGTAAACAGCTTTCAAATAAATTATGTAATATCTTAAAACTTCCGTCCATCGATTTATTCTGAAATAAGACTGTAGCAAAAAAATTAACAAAAATGTATTTAGTATTGAGATCCATTCTTACACAGCATTTGGGTATCAACACTTTTTTGGGAGTTTCCCATTTCAATAAGGTTTGTTATATTTTTGTTTCGAGTATTCCGCCAGCAACTAAACTTCTTGAATTCTGTGCAAGGGTCCTTGTTCCAATTAAGTCTGGCTTGAATACTGGAAGCTACTGTTTCACAAATTACATCCATGCATTCGGGTGGTGCTGAGACGGGTGATGAGCAACGGTCACCTTCCATATAGCAGTCTCTGGGTAGTGGGGACGGTGCCGTGCTGATCAAAAATAATATGGGTGACGCTACAAGCAAAGTAGTCACTAATAAGGTTGCAGATGTTATGGCCATTTTATGAACAGCCGCAGAGGTTCGAAACCATATACATGGTGCACAGCATATCCATCCAATAATGCTGTTCTAAAATAAAAATAAATTTATTTAAGTTAAAAATCATTTGAACACCCTTGCAGATTGTTTATTATATGGACTAGTTATAATTTCTAACAGTTCAATAGGTTTTAAGGACAGGGTTATGTCCTTCGATGAAATTGCTTCGATTTTTGAAATTGGATCATAATTGGATGACTATATCATAGTATGCCCATGCTACACCAAGCCTAAGCCTGTTACTTGAAAAACGCGGCAGAAACGCAGCCCTCCTCCCACACGAGGGGCGCTGCCTTATGACGCGGAGGGATTAAGGGCAAAGGAATCAAGTTTCTAGTAGGTCTAATAGGAAACGTAAAGTTAATGCGGCTCAATAAGTCAGGGCTAACCACGTCCCCTAAGAATGGAATGTTTGTTATGGCAATCTACTACAGCAAATTGGCACTTGAACAAGCGAGACATAGGGAGTCTCGTTATAATAGGGATTATCAAATTCCTTTGACCATTAAGGCATTAAGATGGCTACCCTGTGGTACAAGGCGACAAGATAGTGTCTGATTAAAGTAAGCTGATTGATATAATTCATATATTCAAATGTTAAGAAGGGGTGCTGAGAGCTAAACCTAAAGTAGCTAGTTATTTTGCCTATTCATTTATTGTTTATTGTTATTTTCGTATTTTTTTAAACAATTAACTTAGAATATGTACCTTATTATATCCCGCATTAAAGTTTTCGATGTTGGAGCTATCAACTATTTCAATTTCATCGGATTTGCACACTTGTTTTGAACCAACGGGTGTTTTAAAAGATAATTGTTTTTGGAGTAGGGATGCGCTACTTCCACCGGATGGATTTGCCGTTGTAATAAGATTTCGACCGTGAGTACTCCCCAAGCTGGCAACACCATTCTTCCGAAATACATTACGTGCGCTAGAATCAGCTGTCATGGTTTAAATTTGCGGCAAAAAAATGTATCGCTTCGTATTTTATTTCCTCCTATGCATTGGTATGCATATATAAATATTTGTATAGCTTTTGCAATGTACGGGATTTTAAAGGCTGATGCTGAAAATCATTTTTAAAAATTCGTATAGTTTCATGTTTACTGTGAAATAATCAATACTGGTAAATTTCTCACCATGCATCGGGTTCCATATATTTATGTATATACAAACATGTTTACGACACTTCCTCAAATATTTCGGGTGCATATGTATATAGTTCAAAGAATAAGATTACTTAGGCGGTTGGAAATTATTTACAATTTATCCAGGAAATGTGTGTTCTTCAATGCCGAGCAAAGGTAACAAGCACTAACAACAAATGAGTATATTCTGAAAAGCTTTCACGAATAGCTTTCCGGGGTGTAAAAAGCTTAATTCAATATGCCACTTTTACATGGATTTATTTATGTATCAAAAAGTATTTACATTAAAAGAAATTTGAATAAATAGATAAGAATTTAAAAAATATATAAAAATTGCACCTTCGTATCTACACTCGCATATTTACTCCAATAAAAAACTTATTTGTATGCTTTTTTTTACTTTTTCATTTTGTGCTCAAAAAGCATCTCTAAATGTTAATAAGCCTTTTGGTAAGTGTATATTTTTAGAAGTACTTCAGGATCATGATAAGTTTGTCCAGGACAATCAGAATCTGGTCATCCATGACCGACACTGAGGCCGGCAAAAGCAAATGTATTACAGAAACACATGATGGGTCCGAGTTCCTGACCTTTCCTAAAATTTCACTTGTTCAGCTGTGTGTGGCGCAAGTAAATTCCCACTAGCCGTCTGCAGTCCATTCGTATGTACATACATACATGCATATTCATAAGAATGTAAACGTTAACACGAGCTGTAGTGCAGCTAATAGAAACGAACCAAGACCGACCACAGGGTCCGTAGGTGCCAGTACATTCCGTGCAGAGGAGCTTAGTAAGCACTCCGGTGGGAGCGGAGGACAGCTTCAAGGTAAGCCTTGACCGGATATACCCAATTCATAAGTTAATAGTGTAAGGCAAGAATCAATTGGTGCGTTGCGCATTTATTTTTGAACTTTTGATTTCTTATATCTTTGGCGTACAAAGTATGGATTAAGCAAAGAGGTAAATATGATTTTTGATCTTTGTGGTTTGTAATTAATATAGTTTAAAAGTTTCCTTAATTTTATAATTTGAATACCACAATAATTTGACTGGCTTACCACCATATCCATCATTATTAATAAGTAGATTGAACAAAAACATTTTCAAAATCTCCTTGAACTCTTGGGCCTTATAGATATTTCTTGTACATTTTCATAATCCTTATCAATATTTCTGAAATATCCATCATATTTGCTAACTTCTCTAGCTATACCAGAAGATGATACCATCGACGGAAGAGCTCTCAAAAAACCATGCAAGCCGGACGGAATGGGTGGAGTAGGTGGCACTGATAGCCCACAGCGATTATACAGAAATGGCATAATTCCAGTAACATTGGTATGGAGAGTGAGGATTGCTTCTAAATCGGACTCTTGAGCGTGCGTTAAAAATTGATTATAAGCACTAGATGGTATCATTCCAAAATGATCAAACGAGTCCACATATGCTTCGGTGTCTCTTTTATAGTTTTCCAGAAAGTCTCCAAGAAGCTTAGCTACCATTGCTGAACGTGCTTTGCTTATAACTTTCATGCTCTGAGTATTTCTAAATAACACTGGCGGTTTCACGGATCCTCCAAACTTGTTTAAAAATTTCAGTACAATTTTTTCATGATTGTCTTTGGGATCTTGGGTTAGACGTCTTAAGACAGATTCCAGGTACAAGCTGAAAGTTTGCCGCGCTTGAAACTGCGTTAGCTCCGACCCATTACCAATTTTTTTAAGCATCAGCTTTCGTTGCCTTCTACCTTCCTCTTCGGATTTCTCTACTGCAGGCTTCTTTACAAATGGAATTTCAGAACCAGTCTCCAAAGCTCGTTCGTATTGTTTAATACGACTTTTTTCTAAATTATCATCTATAATATCACTCTTATCATGGCAGTATAAGTTTGAGTGAAGCATTTGGTTGTAGTTATGCTGCATAATTAATGTTTGGAATGTCTGACCTTGTACGTTTGGTGTGGAGATCGGAATACCATTTGTAGAATCTAAAAAGTTACCATAGCGCTGCATTGAGTCATCTGTAGGAAATATGCGTTCAAATCCTCCTCGACGGGAATATTGTAAGCGAGCATTACGTAATATGCGCTGTTCTTCACCAGTGAGTTGATCAGTGCTAACTGATCCTTTTTTCTTATTCTTTTTGATTTTATGTTGGCCACTGGGAACATTAGTACTCCTTTGACAACTAGAACTGCGGAACCGCGACCATTTGCTGTCATAATGGGATCTCATCTCTGGACTATATGCTGGGATTCCAACGCAAGTCAATAAATCAGCAATTAGGCATGCCTTTACTTTTGTATCCAAGGGACTATCTACCCCCATTGATGGCGAAAGATTCACTTCTAGTAACCAAGGCTTTAGTGAATTGTCGATTAGAATATCGAATCCATATAGTTCGAAGCAGTTATTTCCATTGGGAACGAACATTCTGCATGCTGAAATAATTGTTTGAGCACAGGCAAGAATAGCCTTTATTATTAAATCTTCTATATTCAGCATTAGCTGATGAGTATCACAGCCCTGCATTTTGAGGTGCCTCAAGAGAGCCGATAACGTCCACTTATGGCCGACATCCTCATCTTGAGCATCTGACGATCTTATATAGTCCGAATGGTATTTATTGATGCTGTAATTGCAAAGATGCATACACGGATTCCATAGATGATCAGCGTGTCTATCGTATCTGACTGTGGCTAATCTTACTATGCCCTCTTTGTAAAGGTAAATAATAAGAGGATCAAAAGATGTAACTAAAACATATACTCGTAAATCACACTTGTGTCCATCAATACAAAGCGGATCAACAATATACTTGGATACAAGCACTTGTTCATCCTGAGGAATTTGATCTGGCTGAAAACAAATATAAATCAAATAAATACGATAAGCGTGTGTGGTAAGCACTGAGCCAATATATTAAATTTACCGAATTTACAATAAAGATTCCTCTGCCTCTACTTGATGCTGCTGGTTTTACTATCCATGGGCCTCGGTGTTTATTATGCGCTATAATTAAGTCTCGTGATTCCAACGGAAGAATAAAAGATTGTGGCACAATGTCAAAATGTTTCATTCCACGAAGATGTTGCATACGCTCGATATTTTTATAGAGCCTATCTTTCCGGGTTAACTCGTAGGATCTGCGTAAGAAAAATTATATTGGTTTTAAATATTCTATAATATGTTGCTAATTTTTGTATGGAATTACCTAGGGAAATGGTTGACTCTTTGATACGGCGCTAAATTTCTCAGGACATCCAATTTCATGTGAACCCCAGTCCAAAGTAAATTGAAATTACTATCACCCTCAACTTCTCTAAGGCCATGCACGTCAAATATCTTTCTGAGCAATTTTGTTTCAGTTTGAATAAACTTATACGTGATTTTCAGTTTGTATGCCGGCATAACAATCCCACATTCTTCGTCGTCCTCGGTAGCACATTCATCTTCCTCACTTGCGCTGATGTTTGTTATTGATTTGGCAGGTGTTGCGGAATCGTAGCCACTTTCCTTTGTTACATCTTCTGCTAAGTTTGAGTTGATGTCATTCGGATTATTTTTTAGTGACCGAAATTTATTTTGTATATTTCGCGTAGGTTCCTCTCCTTCGCTTGACATAGACGCATCGCTTGAAGAATATTGCTTATTTATCTTTTTTGCAGTGTTTTGAAAGTCCGAGTTTTCGGTTTGCTTAATATGGACCGCATTTCTAAATGATACATAGATCTTTCGCTGTTTTAAACCATTCAAGGCTTCGTTACTGCAAGATGGTAGTGATAAAGAGCTCATGTCATGTTCACCTTTTCGGGAAACAATGGTAGACTCCATATTCGAACAGCTCTCTGGCAATACTGGCGAGGAGTAGCTTTCCGATAAATTCTTTCTAGTTTTTGGATTGAGTATATTTGTTCGAAACACCAGGACTGCATCCCGTGAGCCCATTTTTCCACTTGTAATCCAATCATCATGTTTTGGAAATTCTAAACTGTCTCTAAAATAACATAATAAAAGGGAAACATATTTTATTAAAAGTGAAGCAGTGGCAAATCTAGGGACAATTTTTTTTGTAATAAGAATGCTGGCTGGCTGTTTTAGACACTTTTGCAGATCTATTGTTCGTATGTTAGATTACTGATAAAGTCATAAGTAAATAAAATCGCTTAAATACAAATTTCGTGTTAAGG